ATTTTTGTTTTCTGATTTTTTTTAACCAAAGTAATAAGAATGAATTTCAAACATAAAAAATTAACAATTATTCCTTAAAAAAAAAATAAACACCATTATATGCAAAAGCAACAATTTTGGAAGCAAAAAAAATGTACGTTCACTTCTTAATATTTACATTTACCGCAATCATAATTATGTAATTAAATGATATTTAATTATCAGTTGACAGTTAGACTCCTAAAGAGTTTAAGAATTAATTATTTAAAAATGTTTTTGGATATAAACAGTAAAAAAAATTTTTTTAATGGAAAATAACACGTGAAAGAAGTGTTAGTATAATATTTTCATTGTAACTAACAAACGGGATTCGCCAAACTTAATTTTTGATAACAAGAATTGAACCATTTGTTAAAAGATGTAGATTTCATATAAAAATAAATTCACAATAAAATTATAAAATTGAACTCGTATTCAGCCAGTGTTGTAGAAACGCAACAGCATTTTCATAGATGAATAATTACATGAAAACATAATGGAATTAAAAAAAACATTTTTTCGCTTAAAAATAATATTAATTTTAATCAATTATTGCAAAAAATTATATAAATAATATAAACAAACTTATTCCTTACAAAATAATTCTTACATAAAAATATAATATATCAATTTACTTTGTACACAAAAAGTATGTCAAATATATTTAAAAAAAAACACATATAACATAATAGTTTCAAATACTTAAATATATTGATCTTTCAATAAAAGCGTTGCAAAACATTCTACCAGTGAACCTAACGGTTCGTCGAATGAACTGAAAATGCAGATACATCTCACATAATTGATATCAAAAAATGCTTACGAAACTAAATTTGTGAAAAACGTCAGAGCTATCCTTGCCATTGTCCTAGTTTTACACTAATAAAAGTACTGAAACTTTAATGAGTCTATAAACAATAAAATTCCAACGTCAGCAAAGCTACAAAAAAAAAGAAAACAATTAAGGTTGTAGTGAAGGATAAAGCAAATTATCTCGTTTTCTTCTAAAGTGTTTCATTTGATATCATATAATATAATCTTTGAAAATGCATATAATATAAAAAAATATATTTTAAATTGATACAGTAGAGGCTCACAAAATAAAACTCTTACAAATTCGAATTTCCAGAAATTATAATCAAAAAAGTTCAATACATTGTTTGCATTAAAATCTCTAAAATTAGAAATTTTAGTTCTAATCATTGAGCGAAGTCTCCTTCCTGTTTTTTTTTAAGTTTTGTTTGAATTAGTAAGTTGAAAAGTGTTATTGTTCGTACTTTGTTTCACAAAAAAAAATAAAAATAAAAAGGGGAATTCCGAAATGTGTACTTTAATTGAATCGCATTCAGAAATACAAGTTCAAGACCGATCTGAATATCAGTTCAACACCGATAGTGATATTTCAAATAACATTGAAAATATTCTAATAAATATTCTAATAAATTGGTGCAAAAAGTATGACTTGGCATCTACTGATCACATGAATAATCTTTTAACTCTCCGTAACGATATCATTTAAAAAATTTGACTAAACATAAAAAACAAACAAACATTATT